TCAAAAAAAAAAAAAAAAATCCCTGGGCGTGTTGTTTCTCTTGCTTCTTCCACTACACTCTTCTTCAGCCAGGGCAGCCAAAGGCAGGGCGCTTCCCGGATCGACCAGGGGGAAAGGGGTTGGGTGTGGCTGGGGGCAGAACTTTTCCCTAGTGAGGGTCTTGGTGAGGTCTGCCGGAGGCACACTGGGGACACAGGAGAGCATCAGGTGGCCGCCGCTTCCCACCTCCCTCCTATAAACGGACTCAGCTCCGTCTCCCTCTGTTCGCCTTGTCACTATGGAGCTGTGGCATTCAAGCATCCAGACGCCCTGCTCCTGTCAGGCCTGCCCTGGCAGGTGCTCTGTTTATTTGTCAGGTTGGGCAGCCGGTCTCACGCCCTGGTTGGTGGGCAGATGAGTGAGGATGCAGGTTAGACAGGGGAAGGTGCCAGGTCACTCCTCCCTCTTGGGCTGACCTGAGGCAGTGGAGGGGTTTTCAGGCTGGAATGTTGTGTCCCGTAGAGGACGCGCCTTCCTGTCACTTATAGGAGTGTTGCAGGAGGGCAGGTCCCTCCCCAGGGTAGTTAACACTGTGGAGGCTGCAGGGGCAGGAGGAGAATCGGGGGGCGGGGGTGGTCAGGAGGGTGGAGGCACGCTCCATCTCTGTGCTCCTCATGGGCCCTGCCGCCCTGCCTGCTAAGGGCATGGGGAAGGGGTTCCTACCTCAGTGAGTGCCCTGCCTCCCTGCCCTGTGCCTGTGTACCTGACAGTCATAGCCACCTGGTCTGTCCCAGAGATGAACCAGCCGACCTCATCTCCCGCCCGGCCCTACCTCCACTGGCTTTGGCTCTTGTCCCTGTGCTGCCTGACCCTTTCTCCTGTCTGGAGCCCTTGAGCTGCACCCACAGCAGGCTGCCTTTGGCATCTCATGGGGTGAAAGAGGGCACTGCGAGGCATTCCCTCCCTGGGTTTGGCTTCTGCCCACGGACCGATGGTAGAAATCACAGTGTTAGACAGCTGGAGCCCAGCTCTGCTTGAACCTATTTTAGGTCTCTGAGCCCCTCTTCCTCTCTAGACTCTCCCTAGAGCTCAGCCAGTGCTCCACCTGAGGCTGGGGGTCTCCGAGGAAGACTGAGTCAGGGTTGGGGGTCTGGGGCTGCCCCCTGGGGAAGGGGCCAGAGGCAGTGTTGAGAACCGGGAGGTCTCTGATTGTGGCTCACCCTCCATCACTCCTAGAAGCTCTTGGCCCAGCAGCCACAGCTCCCAACCACAACATCCGTTGGGGTTTGGCCTACGGAGCTAGGGCGGATGACCCCCAAATAGCCCTGGCAGATTCCCCCTAGACCCACCCACACCATGGTCAGGCGTGCCCCTCCTCATCTCCGGGGCATGGCCCAGAGGGTATAAACAGTGCTGGAGAGGGCAGGCCAGCCGAGCCCTGAGCAGCAGCTGGAGACGCCATGAGAGCCCTCACACTCCTCCCCGCGCTGGCCCTGGCCGCACTTTGCATCGCTGGCCAGGCAGGTGAGTGTCCCCACCTCCCCTCAGGCTGCACTGCAGTGGGGGCTGAGGGGTATACCACGGCCGACCTCTTCTCACCCCTTCGCTGGCAGTCCCTGTTGTAGGCTCAGGCCATTTCTCCTAGCTCTGCCCTTGCAGAGGGAGAGGAGGGAAGAACACGCTGCCTGAGACGCAGGGGAAGGAAGATGAGGGCCCTAGGGGTGAGCGGGGTCCAAAGGAACTGTGCTCCCTTCCTTTGCAGGTGCAAAGCCCAGCGGAGTGGAGTCCAGCAAAGGTGCAGGTATGAGGATGGGCCCGGCAGGGGCTCCTGGACCCTCCCCTCTCACCCTGGTCCCTCAGTCTCATTCACCCACTCCTGCAAGGCTGTCAGGAAGGCCACCCTGCTCCCTACCTTGTCCTCCCAAACCCAGAGCCACCTGATGCGTGCCCCTTTGCTCCACAGCCTTTGTGTCCAAGCAGGAGGGCAGCGAGGTGGTGAAGAGACCCAGGCGCTACCTGTATCAATGGCTGGGGTGAGAGAAAAGGCAGTGCTGGGCCATGGGGGAACTACAGCAGGGGGTGGCCTCTGGGCCGCGATGGGGGTACAGGCAGCCTGCCCTGGCGGGGACCCTGGAGCCCCATGTATAGTGAGAAGAGGGATGGGCATTTGCACAGGGGCTGATGCCACCATTTCGGGTGTCTCAGAGTCCCAGCCCCTTACCCGGATCCCCTGGAGCCCAGGAGGGAGGTGTGTGAGCTCAACCCGGACTGTGATGAGCTGGCTGACCACATCGGCTTCCAGGAGGCCTATCGGCGCTTCTACGGCCCAGTCTAGAGTGTTGCCCTGCTGGCCCAGCCGGTGACCCCAGCTCTGCTCCTCTCCAGGCCCCCTTCTTCCCCTCCCCCTTGCCCTGACCACCCGGCCCTGGAGATGTGGGGTCCCCATCATCCCAGCTGCTCCCAAATAAACTCCAGAAGAGGAATCCGAGGGCCTGTGAATCTGTCCAGTTTATGGAGTGTGGGAGGGAGGTGTCGGGAGGACGGGGGTGAGGAGGTTTTACCTTCTTCACATCTACAAAGTGCTTTCCAAAGTTTTATTTTATTTTTTTATTTGTTCCAGAAGTCATTGAAGGTGGCCTCCTAGGATGCCTAGGAAGTCTAACTAGAAAGCCCCCTCTAGCCCAGCACCCTCCTCCCCACACCTCAGTCCACTGAACCATCCATGATGCACCCAGATAGGCCCACCCCCAAAAGCCTGGTCACCTGGAGTACACAGTTGTGTCCAGGACAGCTCATCTCCATAGGTAAACAGCTGCTGGCAAACTGGCATGACCTGGCTTGCAGGGCCGGGGGCCAAGTGTGTTTCCTCCCCGCCTGGTTAGCAAGAAGCATTCAGGGTAGCCCGAGGTTAGTTGTGTTAGTTCTTCCCTGTGCTGAGCAGAGACTTCCAGGAGCACCAGAAACGGAGCCAGACAAAACGGCCCCCACACTCCCCGCCCCAACCTCTGACAGAGTAGGGGGGCATCTTCAGCCTGGACACGCGCCCGCCTCCCCTCTCAGACCCTCAGCACTTCCCTCAGTCCCATCAAGAGCCCCTCGTGGTCCCTCACACACTCTGCCAGTCCCCCCAGACACTCCTCCTCTCCTCTGCCCTCTGTCCTCTGCCCTCTCTCCTCAGCCACCGTTGGTTCCAGGCTGAGATGCGTCCCTACCTGATGAGGCCTGGGTCTGGGCTCCTCCCCAGCACTGGGGCCTGGCCTCTGCCCCCTCCAGGGCCTCACTGTTGTTTGGCCTGGGTACCCCCCTCCAGTGGGCTACCCTGCAACAGAGGGCATGTACTAGGGGCCCGAAGCAGGGAGGCTGTGAACGCAGCAATGATGAGTACGTTCCCGGCTACCACCAAGAGCAGCGTGGCCACTGTGCCCGCCAGGCCCAGTGCGGCTTCCTGTGTGGCCAGCCAGGCTCTGCGAGATCCCATATCAGCCAGCACTGCCTCCAGCTGGAAGTGGGTGCCCAGCACTGCACAGATGTGGAATAGCTGGTGGCTGTGGCCTGTGGAGATGATGGGCAGGTCAGAGCCACACCTTTCCCAGGGCAAGTCACCCAGTCCACTGGGCCTGCTCCTCCCCTATAAATTCCCAGAGGGACTGACAGGAGTGAATGAGCGTTTGTGCGTGCGGCCCCCAGCACACAGGCTATTAGTTTTGCTACCTGAGAAGTAGCAGGTGGAGGACCCTGAGGACTCTTCCGGTGATGCTCACTTGTTATAGCAAGACAGGGAAGTCCCTCCTGTAATCTGCCTCCATGCTGGGGCTGTGATACCCATTTACCCAGTTCATTCTGTGCTCTGGGAAGCCATCAGCAGCTCCTGCCCTTTCCCGGGCTGGGCCAGGCATTGCTCTCACCAATGTAGTCAAAGCGTCCTGGTGCCAGCCTTTCAGGCAGGTGGGAGGCGAAGAGGAAGCCAGTGAGCAGTGCGCAGAAGAGGTGGTAGCCGTGGCTGGTGCTCAGGGCCTCCTGCCCACAGCTGTGGCCCCTGCCCCAGCACAGCCCGAGCTAGCAGAGGAAAAGAAAGGCTGGTGGGGAGGGCTCGGGAGCAGAAATACGGGGTGTGTCGGGGTCTGGTGAGGATGCAGAGCAGGTGGGCACAGCTAGGCGGGGTGCTGGGCCTGAAGAGAGGTGGCTGGGCTGAGGCAGGGACTGAGGGGGCAGGGCTGGACGTGGGCACCTTGAGGGTCAGGACAGGAAAGCAGGAGTCTGGGCAGGGGCCCCAGGCTACCTTACCCGATAGAAGAGAGGTAGGTTGTCGAACAGGAAGGGATAGGTGAAGGCTGCTGTGCGGAGGACCTTACTGAGCCCAGGGCTTTCCAGCTCCAGGAAACTGGGAGGTGGGAGGAAAAGGCTGGTCACCATCGCTGTGCTCAGGGTAGGGGTCAGAGAAAGGCAAGGGGTCCTTGGGCCAAGTTGGAATATCAGCGCAGCTTGCAGCTAAGAAAACCCTTAGGGCACATGACTTGCTGTGTAAAGGACCACATCTGTCTGTGGGGATAAAGACACCTGCCTTTTATGGTGGCTTGAGATTTAAAGGAGACAGCATGGGTGTGAGCATATAGGGCCTGACAGGAAGTCCTCAGTATGTGGTCCTGATGTCACCCATGCTGTTCAAGAGCAGTGAGGTGTGTCCTCTCCTGTGCCTCCGCCTTCCCCGTCCCCACTGGAGGGGCCTGGGAACCCACCGGGAGTAGCAGGAGAGGCCGGTGCACAGGAAGGAGTTGAGTGCGGCGGAGGGTACAAAGAACTGGTGCAGGGGGCCGTGCAACCAGGAGGCCGGCATGGAGTAGGCGGCGTAGGGGAAGGCGCAGCCTGCGGTGAGGTGGGGGCGTGCAGCTGAGGCCCGAGTGGCGCGCCCCTCCCTCCCGCATCCCAACCCTCGCCCCGCCCCGCCCCGGGACGCCCAGACCCAGCGCTCCCGCGCCTGCCCGGCTTACCCAGGCTGTAGAGGCTGAGTGCGCCGTAGTCCAGGAAGTAGCAGATGTGGCGCGCGCGGGGCGACATGGAGCTGAAGGTGTGCGCGCAGCACGACGCGAAGGGGTAGAGGCAGGCGGGCAGCAGGAAGACCAGCAGCGGCCAGTGGTATGGCTCCGCGCGGAAGCCGGGGCCGCCCGCCAGCGCCAGGAGCCGCCACAGGAAGTACCTGCGGCGGGCGCGTGCTCAGGCCGCCGCGGACCCCCGCGATTGCCGCTGCAGCCCGTGGGCCTGGACAGTCCCTGCCCGCCTGGGTACCCCCTTTGAGCTGAAGGTCGCGGACTGGGGCAGAGCCTCCCCTCACCAAGTGGGCAGGAAGTGAGTCCAGATGTTGACCGTCTCGTTGGTCATCTGGAAGGAGCTGAGGACACAGTCCAAAGCCGAGCTGGTGGGACGGCGGTAGCCAGACATGATGCCATCTTCCCAGAACACCTGGGATAGTGGTGGGAAAGGAGAGGAGTCACTGTGCCCGGACCCTCTCCCTCCATTTGAGATCCCTGGAAGCAGGGTCAAAGAGGATGGGCTGGAGATCAACCTGGCCCCCAAGCCAAATTAAATCTGATCTGATCTTACCACAGGTTCCAGTGCCCACAGATCAGATGGGAAACCGAAGAGGCCGACTGGGGCGGGGTGGGGTGGGGTGGGGTGGGGTGGGGCGGGGTGCAGCACACCGACAGGGCGCTCTGGGGAAGGGGACTCAGGATGGAGGGCCACAGCTTGTTCCTCAGAGAACAGAGGAAGAGTTTCACACTGGAATGGGAGGTTTGAGAGTTCGCCTGCAGGAGGGGCTGCCCCAGTAGATAAAAGAGAAGAATCTCTGCCCCAGTCAGTCCTCTAGGAGTGGGGGTTGGTGGGTCAGTGGGTGGAGCCCCTCACCCTGGGGACCTGGTGGACTCGAAGAAGTTGGGGCAGCTTGAGACTGAGCATGGTGGCCTGGTACCTCCACGTTGACCTGGAGACAGAGTGGGAGTAGGGGATCAGATATTTGTCCCCATCCACAGGCCCTTTCACCTGGGTTCAGCCCCAGGATGGGCTGCGTGTGTGGGAGGCACCTGGCACCCTCCCCTCCTGGAAATGCTTCCTTCAAGCCCGGGGAGGCTGGTCCAGCTTCCCCAGCCGTCCCACCTCTTAACTCCATCCCTGCCTGTGTCCTCCTTGGGGTATTCAGTCCCCACACTGAGGGGCTAGGCAGCCTCAGCCCAGCATGGAGTGGTGGGCCCTCCCAGCTAGGAGGCTGCCTCAAATAGCGATCCAGCCCCCCAGGCCCCAGTTTTTATCTCGGGAAGAATCCTGACTTGAGGCCAGCACAGAGACAGCCCGAGTAGTACACCCCGCCCCACCAGAATGCACTTCAGCCCACAGCGCCGGTCTGAGCACAGATTCTAAGCTTGGCACTCAGAAAGAATCCCTGGAGAAGCCAGATGCCGTCAGGTGGGACAAGGAGTTAGAAGATGCCTGGCTTTTCTCTGAGGACTACACTTGGGCCTCGGCAGTGTTTTGGGGTCCCTGCCCCTTCTAAGCCCCCTATCCCTGAGCCCCAGACCTGTGCGCTGCCTCCGGGCGGCCGTGGCTCTGCTGCCCCACCTGCCTCTCCTGGCACATTCCTTGGCACAAGTGGAGGGGCTGGGCCAGCTGGGCAGGCGGAGCTGCCCCAGGAGGAGGAATAGGACACTCCCCCAGGCTAAAACTTTGCAGCAACTCCATAGCCTAGCCCCTCCTCTTCCTGCCACCAGCTTTGCGCATCCGTGTTTGTGTCGCATGCACTCTGGGGCTTGCACCAGCAGTCACTCCCCCAGCCTCTGCCCCTGAGATGGGTGCTGCGGACCCTACTGGACACAAAGCAGACTTGGCCCTAGTCCCTGCACCCCAGCAGAACAAAGATGGATGAGGGCCTCCCAGGGTATCCCTTGTCTGCTCTCACAAGTGGGATGGGGGATGTCTCCCCTACCCAGAGTGCTGCCCATCTATCTGGAGGAGTGAGAAATTCGCTGAGGTCTAGCTTCCCTCACGGTGCCTTTCTTTAGCAGTAGGGTTTGGAGAGCTCCGGAGTGGGGCGTGTGCAGTTGCTATGGAAATGGGGGAGGGACAGCTGGAGCAAGGTGCTTTACCTCTATTTCCCCAGGAGAGGTGGTATCAGAGCCCCAGGTGAGCTTCCTTACCCAGAGCTTGGTGGGTGCTCCTAAGCTGATGGGTCAGCAGGCCCAGGGCTCCACGGGCGGAGTCCAAGGCTGCTGCCAGCCAGGCTGATGAAGGAGAGTGGCCGGGCAGGCGGGCCAGGCCTGGGCGGGGAGTGGGGAGACAAAGGGGAGCCAGGGAACAATCCCAGCCTTGTCCAGCCTCCAGGGAGCAGCACAGGGTGGCCCAGCCCCATTAGCAGGCAGCTCACTCCGCTGCCTGCACACAGCCAGCTCCTCCAGCATGACCTAAACTCCCTGTGCTCAGGCCGGCTAGAACAGGCTAGGGGCCCAAGCCAGAACGTGGCCATGGTGCTGTAGAGTCCACCCAGAGAGGTGTTCCCCTGTTCTAGGTTCTCCCAGCAGCTGAGGACAGCTCTGCCTTAGGCTGGCAGAGGAACCCAAATCCCCGAATTCTGACCAGATTTCAGAAGCCATCTCTCACCATGCCTTGCTGCCTCAGCATGTGGTGCTGGGTAAGGCTCAGAGCCAACTGCCTTTGATAAATGTTGGTTCTATTACGGGACATTTGCCAAGCTTATCACCTCCCCATCCCCACCCTGAATACAATTTGAGGTGCCAATCCTTGCAGGACAGGCACTTGAGGACTCAGGCTGATTTCAAGGCTCACCTCCCCAGCCCCTTGAGGAAGAGACAGTGGGGGGGGGGGGGTAGGGGATCAGATATCAGGTATCATTCCTTCTCCTGGTGACAGCAAACCAAATGCAGGCAGCGGTATTTGCTGGCAAGAGATTTCCACCTATCGCCCTTGCAAAGGCATGCCTCAGTCGACAGTGTCTACCATAAAAGCATCTCCAGGGCTCTCACTCAAATTGCCTGCTTGTTGTTCTGTTCCATCCACTTCAAAGAAGTCTTTCCACGGTGCATTTCAGGATGCCCTCTTCAATGTCCCACCTCCCAATAAAACTTCCGTAGAGAGGCACGAGGAGACAGGGTTGGGCTTGGGGGTTTATTAAGTGATGCTTTAGTCTCAGTCTCTGCCAGCAACTGTTGGTGGGGTGACCTCACTCACCCCAGGATTTCCCAGACTTGCTGTTTTAGAGGAAAGAGGCAGGAAGCCAGCTATCCTCCAAGCCACAGCTTGGGAAGGCAGGCTAGTACTGGGGTGGGGGCAGCAGAGCTGAGACCCTCCAACCCCAGCCGCCAGCCTGTACTACCCTCCCAGCCTGAGGGGGAGGAGCTGAGGCAACCCTGGCCACAGCCTCCCACACATGACCCTGCTCTTGGTGCGCCGTTCACTGCCCTGAGCTATTCATGATCTCTGCTCCCACATATTCACCTCGACACTCCCGAAGCCAGCCCCACACCCAGCGCCTCCAAGTCTTTAGTCCTGGGGAGGGCAAAAGGGGGGACAGGGGACCCCTGACTGAGCAGTTTCAAGGGGCCTCTTCTTTCTGCTGCCCACTGAATGCCAGCCCCTTGTCTTCAGCCCTCCCGTAGACAGGAAGCAGGGCGTGGCGTCAGACTGCACCCCCTTTCTTCTCCGTCATCCCATTCTGCCCTAGCACAGCAGCCAGGAGAACAAGCACAGCGCCTGTAGGACTGGTAGGCACGGGAGCCCACGCTGGCACAGGCCAGACTGCCTGCAGCCCTAGGTGGGGCCTGCTCCCTGCCCTGGAAGCTAGACAGAGGAAGACAGAAAGCAGAAGTGGGGCAGTGGGATGTATGGCCCCTGTGGCAGGAGGAGCACACGAACCCTGACCCTGCAACTCGGTGCAGGCCACTCCAGGCCTCGCTTCTGTAAGAGCCCGTGGCTGGCTCCAGAGCTGCCCGGCCCCCATAAAGGGGGCTGAAAGGAGTATGGGTGGTCCTTGAGGAGGGGAAGGGTCTGCAGAGAACCACGCAGACATCAGGTATTACCCAGCTCTTTCCCCAAGACCTGGAGGATCCAAACTTCTGGCCCCAACCACCCTGTATCTTGGGTGAGGAAGAAGGGCCCTCTTCTGCTGTTCCTTCCCCTCAGAGATCCAAGAACCCACTCCAGTGAAATGCAGGTACCCATGCCTGCCACCTGCCCCTGGAGACAGCAGGGGAGTTGAGGCAAGAAGGCTGGCCAGGGGCCCACAGGACTCTCCTGCTCTAAGCACTTTCCTCGCTTTCTTAACGTCTTGGCAACAAAGGGACCCCACCCTCCCAGCTGGCTCCTGGGCCCTCCCTGTAGCCTCTGAGCAGCTAGGCCTCCCTCCTGTGTGCGTGCATGAGTCTGCGTGTGGTGGGGTGACTGCAGGTGCTGGTCCTGGCTGCCAGGGAGGGCAGGAGAGATCTGGAGTCAGCCCCACTGCAGGGCCTGGGGGTCAGTCTCAACCAATCTCCTTCCACTGCTTGTAGAAGTCCAGAACATTCTTGATGTCCACGCTGGCATGGGCAGCGGCCTGCAGGGCTGCCTGTGGAAGGGGAGGAGGAAAGATGGAGAGGGCCTGACCTCCCGAACTGAGGAGCAAGTCGTTGAGGGGCTGGGGAAGGAGTGATGGGAGAGAAAAGGGCAGCTATGTGGAGGGTCTGGGGACAGAATCTACTCTGGCACCTCGTCCCTATTCCACACCATCCCCCCACCTCACCCATGACCCACCTGCATGGGGCCTGAAAGCACGCTGGGGTTGTCCAGTGGAAGGCCTGTGATGATGGTCACCATGCCACTTGGGTCCTCCTCACCTGTCCCCTGGGCCACAGTCAGCTGTTTGCAGCTGTCCAGGATCTTATAGATAGTCCTGGGGATGGGAGGCAGAGGGGAAGATGGGTCACCACCCAGCATTAGCACAGCCCACCAGGGGACAGGGGCAGCTGGGGACTGGGAGGGCAGCGAGCAGCAGTGGGCCCTGGAGGCTGGCCCTGGAGGAGACACTATGGGGAGGAGGCAAAGGTGCACTGAAGGAATATACCAGCCTGAGCATCGCAAGGCCCGAAGAGGCTGCCCCATCTACAAAGCTCAGGTGCTGGGGCAACTTCGTACTCTCGAAAGGTGGGGCCTGCAGGAGGCCCTGGCAGGCTACGTGTGCAGCCTCAGAATTCTCCAGCCCTGCCCGTTCTCCCTGGGAATGTCTATGGAGGAGCAAGGCAGGTGGCCTGACTGAAGTTCTAGGGGTGAGGGTTGAAATGTTACCAGGCATCTGCATCCTGCCTCTTCAGCTTATGCCGCTCAAAGCTCTTTCCCACCTCTTTCTGGCAGCGAATGTACCTGCAAAGGAGACGTGTGAGTGGAAGTCAGCAGCAGAGGACAGGCAGGGTGCCTTACACAAAGCAGGCCGTTGTGGCTCTGTGGGCCTAGTTTTGCAGGCGGGGCAGGGAACACGTCTCTCCCACCACAGCTCTGTTTAGAACCATTTCCAAGTGGCTTCCTGGCTGCTGGGCGAGGCTCGCTCTTCCTCCTGATAACATCAATTCTTTGGTTCCTCCCAGGGGAGGATCTGAGAGGGGAGAATTAGCAGATGCTTTTCAACTCAGGGCTTCTGGAGACAAGGTCCAAACAATCAGGCCTTGTACAGCTTCCTGGCCAGGCAGAGCAGATGCAGAGGAGGGGGTGGGCCAGCTACCAGGGAGAGGGAAGCTTTCTCATTATTCCCTACACCCTCTGCCTAATCCTCCTCCGGTCCCCAAGGCCAGAAGAGCAGGCCTGCACCGGGCTGAGCACCTGCACATGCTGCCATCTGCTCATCCCTGGCTGGCTTCAGTCTCACCACTGCCTCAGGTCAGTGGGAAGGTGGGCAGCCCAGATGAAGGCCCTCACACTCTGAGAAACCTGATCACCTGTCCCACCCCAAAGCAGGAGAAACTCCCCCTGTAAAGAAATTCACAGTCTAATGTTGGGGGAGGGAAGTCTGCTCCCTTCTCCCCAGTGGGTGGTGATCACAGGCTTGCCCCAGAGGAAGAAGGACAGCAGCTCAGTGCTCCCCACAGGGCTCCTGGCTCCTTTGGTCACCTGTCATTTCGGCACCTACGACCTTGACTTCTAATGATCTCTGGTATCACTCCCCAGGCAGTGAGCAAACTGTGCGTAGCAACAGGTATGTATGTGTCTTACCCATAGGGAACAAGGGGCTTATAAGCATGTGTTGTCCAAAGATGGACCCAGGACTCAGCACAGGTCCCACCAGGCCTGCACTCACCTGTTTCCTTTTTTAAACTCTGCCTCCAGGTACCGAATCCCATCCCGGGCCCCTGGGTGTTCCTTCTTCAGCAAATCCAGGCCATCAATCACTGGTGAGCAAGGTGAGGGCAGGGAAGGACAAAACAGATAAGCTCAGACTGCTGTGACAAGAGGCTCTGGAGGAAGTATCTGAGCTCACCTCAGTACATCCTGCAGTCAAAGAAAGGACCCTGGCTTCCTAGAGGGCTCACAAAGTTCTCTGAAGATAGTGACCTTCTGACAGCAATATACTTGGAATTTACCAAGTACTTTCACATTGTATTCACTTCTATTTTCTGTTTCTCCCAAATATCTTGTGAGGCAGAATAGGGACTGTTATGTCCATTTCATGATGAAGTGACATGTTCACAAAGGTGGTAAGACTTGACCAAGGTCACTGTGTATAAATTGAGCCCCAAATAAGGGTCTCTTAATCCCAAGCCCAGAATCTCTTTTACCTACACTCTATCTGTCCCCTTACCTCTCCAATGTACTTACCCGTCCTTGGAATGATGACAATGAAGCGGCCACTGGTGGCCAGTTGGCGGATGACAGGGAGATGGTGGCAGAGGGCCTGGGTGTCAGGGACGAGGTAGGGAGACATAGCCGACTGGGCCCGGGGCTGCTGCAAGCTGCCCTCCAGCTGAGAGACCTCGAGCTGGTGAGAGAGGGCAGGGTGGGTACAGCTGCGGGGGACCCCTTCAGCCTGGGGTGGGGGAACAGTGGTCCTCAAGGTAGCTCTTATGGGGCTTCTCCTATTGCTAAGGGGATCAGGGGACCTTTCTACCAATGGCTTTGGGGAAAAAACAGACAGAAATTAGAGTTAAAGAGAAAGGGAGAGACAGAAGTGAAGGCAGAAAGGGGGCTGAGTGAAGAGTTGGTAGTAGGGAGGGTGAACTGGGAGAGGTGGAGGGACACAGCGGCAACAGAGCAGGAGGCCTAGAATGGAAGGGGGAAGACCTGCCAGTGGGGTTTAAGCAAAAGCTCTACCAAGTGCAGAAGAAGCACTTGGGCCCCTGATGTCCTACCTGAAGTCGTAGCTGAGCCATGTCTCTCATGAGCCTGTTCCGACGAGCTTCCTCCTGTGCCTATGAGGGGAAGACACGAGTTATTAGGAGTTAGGGTACACATGCCCTTCTCCGGTGATCAGGAAGACCAAGAGGATTTCCTGGGGTCTCAAACAGAGTGGCTTCATGTAAAGTCACTTTAAATGAGGGGAGGAGAGGCATGGAAGAAAAAATATTCTTCCGCTGCACTGTGAACAACCTCCATAACCAACCCAGTGCAGGTCATGACGTTCCAGGCCCTGCAGGGGAGGGGAGCAGACAGCCATGTGCATTGCCAAGCAGGACTTCACCTGGCTGTGCCTCAGGGTTCAATCTCTGCTCTTCTCAATCTGGTCTCCCCTCCCAGGAGATCCTACCTATGCACTCCCTCACCTTCTACCCCCATCTGCTTGCCAACATCTTCCACATCTGCAGATTCAGCCCAGGCCTGACCATCCTGAGCTCCAGATCCACACATCCAACTGCCTACTCAGCAGCCCAATCTGCTCCTCAAGAACCTGCTTCTCTTCCTCTAGTGTTCCCTGGCCTGGTAAATAAACTACAGTCTGCCCAACTCAGAAAGCTCAGGGTTGGCTTTGAATCTTCCCTCTCTCAGCCCCAGAAAGTATTAGCTTCCC